TAGTTCGTTTTTGTTTAATAAGTGATCAATTAGCACCTATACAGACTACAGCAAATGTATGTCTAGTCTTTCGTTGGTAGTTTATCATCCAGGCATCACTGGTCGTGTCCATATTTTGGCGCCTTTCAAAATGTAGTGGTTTTTGCGTATTTGATCTATGTGTGTATGCGTGTACGTGCAGTGATATCTCTACCTGTGTATAATGCACATTTATGGTTTTGATTTATATCAGGGCCTGAATCTTGTATAAATAATTAAGAGAATGGAGAAGACAGACAGATTAATTGTGTTTTCAAGTCTCCCATCATCTGAAAGATGCCTGTGTTTTCAACTGGTAACGTGGTATCAACGATTTAGTGCATTTTAATATAACAATCTTTAACTTCTGTGTTTTCATTCTTTGGATTTTACGAGAGTTTTAGCTTTGCTGTTAGTTACTGTAATATAACTGTGGAGTATGTTTACTTTCGGGGAAGAAAAAGTTTTTGTGACTTTTTTCGAGATTTGATGTTTTATTATTTGGGCTTAATTGTTTTTGAGATTTCGTTTGTATTTAAAATAATTTTTGCTTGTCTAGAATACGTACTATATGTGCGCCTGCTAAACTTAGCTGTAATGAGATTTCTTGAGTAGCATAAAAACAGTGCATTTCAACTTTTTTCTATTTTTAATTTTTGAAGCCGAGAAGCGGATGGTTTTAGCTTTTAACTCACTACTCTAATAAATTTAAAGTGGTTTCAGTTTTGTTAAAAATTAATCTAGTTAGTGCGTCTTGTGGGTCTTTTCTCTTACAGTTTTTTAGGAAGGAACACCCGGTTGCTATTTTACTAAAATACTGCTCATCGCTATTTTAATTTTGGATTTTACCATCTGAGTGGGACTTAAGGACTAGAGAGACTTTTCGTTATCTTGAGTACTGGTACGTTGCTTTTATTTCAGGTCTTTTGTGGAAGACACGAAAGTTTGCGAAGGAAGCGATGCAGCTATTATGCTAAAATTTTGTAAGGTATTCAAATCAAAGAATTTCGAGCTGCTGTTGGGATCAGAATGTTAATTTGCACTTAGATAAGAGATAACTGTTGGGAAAATAGTTGGACAGGTAGTGGTGGAGATAAGCGTCGCGACATTGTATTTGGAAGGTGAACAGCAACTGGAAGATGTCTGAGAATGTTGTGAAAAGCATAAGTAACGCTTCAGAAAAGCAAGGATGTGGAATATATTTAATGTACAGTCATGGGCATTGCTTTCCGTCTGCCGTCATGTCACACTCTTAGATACTTTTCTCGAGCTTTGTATCGATTTTAGTTTTTTTTTTTGGTACGGCGTCAAAGTTTTGCTCGTTAAGAAGCGGCTGTTTTCTTATTTCCGGAAGAGGAGTTCTTTTTTTTTCCATGTCATTCGCTGCTTTATTATTCTACAGTACTTTTATTTCTTGTAAAACTTTAATTTCTTTCTTCTTCAGTGTTGTTGTTGCACAATTTAATTATCTCATCTTTTATGTGAAAGGCGTAGTTGTTCTTAAATTCCTTTTGTTCGTCCGTTTAACTTTATTAATCATAGAGTTTCAGTGTCTGTACAAATCGTTTCAATCAAGAGGTGGACAACTGTATTCTGTGAACCGAAAAGTTTAGGGAACTTAAGTATGTCTTCGTCACATTCATCGGTGTATGTGAGCGCCACTAGTGAAGCAAGTGGTTCAGCTGCTGGGGCAATTCGTGCTTTAACTCTTGAATTAAAAAGTCTTCAGACCTCACCACTTGAAGGCTTTACAGTGAATCCATCAGAAAGCGATATATTTGTTTGGACTGTTGCTATATTTGGCCCTCCAGGCACACTTTATCAGGTTATTTTGGGGTTCAAAGTTTCCTTTGAAAGGAATTTTTATCTATGTCAAAATCCGGCTAAATTTTATTTTGTTAGCAATTTAAGGGTGGATATTTCAAAGCCATGATCAATTTTCCGAAGAATTATCCGTATTCGCCGCCTTCAGTGAAATTCTTAACCAAAGTATGGCATCCAAACGTTTATGAGGTTCGTTTTTCACCTGATGCGTCATTACGTCTTACGATTTATCAACTGAATCTTCTCTTTTCAATAGAAAAATTGCTGACATCTGCCTATTTTAGAGCGGAGATCTTTGTATAAGCATCTTGCATCCTCCTGTAGATGATCCACACAGTGGTGAACTTGCTTGTGAACGCTGGAATCCAACTCAGAACGTTAGGTGCTGTATAGCTATGAAGTTTTGCCGTTACTTCTCTAGTTTTCCACTAGTTACTCATTTAAAGATTTTATCAACCGGCAAATTATTTAAGTAACTTGAGTAATTTTAGGACTATTTTATTGTCTGTCATTTCCCTTTTGAACGAACCTAATACTTCTTCACCAGCTAACGTTGACGCTTCTGTTATGTATCGCAAGTGGAAAGATTCTAATGGGAAAATTGATGATTACGCTCGGATTATCAGGTTCATTTGCTTCTGTACCTCTTATATTACCCAACGTCTTATTTCAATGAAAATATTTTTGTTAAAAATGCATTTTTTCATCAAAAAGTGATCATCTTTGTTACCAATACTTAGGAAAGTTCGCCGAGGCTTGATTGTCAGTGAGCTAGTTTCATGTTGTGTATTTTTCCTTTACACTTGTTTACTTGTTTGTTTTCTAGCTAAAAAGGTCCTGGAGGAATAAAAACACTGTAGGATTATATATATGTATACGCATTCAGAATATTAAACTACTTTCATTGTTGTAAAGTAGATCAAAGCAGAAATAAGTTTATGATAACATTTGTTTTGCAAAACATGAACTGCTTTTTCAGGAAACAAGTGGAAGCTTCTCGTGTAGAGGCAGAAAAAGATGGAATAGTGGTTCCAGAAACGTTGGAAGAATACTGTGTTAAAACCCAACCAAAACCTAGCGAGGAGGAATTAGATGAATTTGACCTGGACGATGAAGGGTACCCTTATGAGGGCAGCGGTATGTCTGTTTAAGCACAAAAGTATTTTTTCCAGGATGCTTGATTACTTTTAACATTACTCCACTTCACTAGCGGTATAGGTCATTAGTCTTACACCGCTCCTCATTCCTAAGCTTGAGATATGAGGTAAAATAATAAAATAACTTTTAGATTATGAAGAAGAATATGAAGAGAACACTGAAGACAGTGGTCAGGGGGAAAACTGAGGTTATCGCATCGCCAAATATTGATTTTTCGCGGTCTTCTTTCCAGTGGCATGTTATCAACCTGTCTTTTCTATTATGTAACGCCTCCCTGTGTGAATTAGTCAAGTGGTTTATCTGTGTTTATGATTTATTAAGTTTAAATTGCTTTGATTTTATTTTACGACTTTAAACCTCTTCAGCAATCTTTCTTTCAACTTATTCTTTTATTTACGGGAATGTATGATTTCATTGGCAGTATAAAAGATAACATCTGGCTTTCTTAAAATTTACCGATTAGCTATGTGATTCTCAGGTGATTTAAAGCATTTTATACTGTCACCAAATGTAGATCAATTACCACTTCATTATTGTGCTATGCTGATTCAGAAGGCTGGTCAGATGTATGAGAACTTTAGTTCATTTGCATTTGTGAGGGGATTCGGTCAAAAATGTGTGATATTTTTTCTTTGATGGACACTTATTCGAACGACGTTAAGGTGATATATTCTTTATGGAAGATAGTGGGGTAAGCTTTAAAGTTTTAGTTTCCAAGCGGGATTTGTACTTTAGCAGACTTTGATGGACTTTGAAGGTTTTTTACCTATGTTTTTGGTATGTACCATA